AGTAATATCAGAGAATTTGAGGACATCTGAAAACTGCCACAACTGTGGTTTTGCATTTTGAATGTATTAGAGACATGTTGTTAGAGAGGAGATGCCTGGTACTACTTTTCTCTAAAATCCCTAATAACACAGTGTGTTCTAGAGAGCAGTTTTTCTCAAAGAAGGATCATTTAGAAAGGAGTGCAGGTATAGCATCCCCTTTAGGGATGGTATTATGAGTTTATTCCCTGAACATGATTTGACTGTTTATAGCTGTAACTTAGCTCACTTTCTGGAAATAAAAGGAAATCAGGTGACAAAGTGAGTTAACGAGCCAGTGCAAAGCCTTCGCCATGGCCAAAAAACAAGCCAGAGCTTATGTTCTACAGCTGACTGAGTATGGGAAGCTATCTTCATACAGGAAGGCTAACCCTTTGTTGTTTCTCTTCTGCAGCCTAAAGAAAGGGAGGTGGTGATAGAACACAGCTCTTCAGGAAGTGACTGGTCCGATGTGGATGAAGTCTCCACAGTCAGATTCTCTCAGGAGGAGCCTGTCTCACTGAAACCCTCGGCAGTTCCAGAGCCTTCTGCCTTCCCCACTGACTATGTCATGTACCCCGCCCATTTGTATAGTAGTCCTTGGTGTGACTATGCTAGCTATTGGACCAGCAGCCCCAAGCCTAGCTACCCTGCCATGGGCAGCAGCAGCAATGACACGTTGCAGGCTGGGAGGAGCAGCAGGGGCCTCCTGAGTGATTATTCCCCCAACTCGACAGTGAGCTCCCCAAACACCTCCAGAGACCTGGAGGTGACAGAGGAGGGCAGATCCCAGAGTTCTCGTTCATTTCGTTTCTCCAGAAGCTTGGAAGAAGAGGAGGTCAAGGAGAAAAGAACATTCCGGGAGGAGATACCACCCCGTTCTTGTGAAGGACATGCATCTAGCTCCCTGCCAAGGAGCCATCGGGAGCCAAGCCTAGAGGAGGGTTTCATTGATACCCATTGCCACTTGGACATGCTCTATTCTAAGTTGTCTTTCAAAGGGACCTTTAGCAAATTCAGAAAAATTTATAGCAGCTCCTTCCCTAAGGAATTTCAGGGCTGCATCTCTGACTTCTGTGATCCCAGGACACTGACAGATTGCCTGTGGGAGGAGCTGTTGAAAGAGGATATGGTTTGGGGGGCTTTTGGCTGTCACCCTCATTTTGCACGTTACTACAGTGAGAGTCAAGAAAGAAATCTCTTGCAAGCTTTAAGGCACCCCAAGGCTGTGGCATTTGGGGAAATGGGTTTGGATTACTCGTATAAGTGCACCACGCCTGTCCCAGAACAGCACAAGGTAATGAGGTTCCTTAGCTTGCTTACCATTTTAATTCCTCTTTTCGTTGTTCAAATCTAACAATAAGGGTTTCCCTACTTTGGGATCTAAAGAATTTAGAATCCCTAAAAATTTAATTGCTATTATTCAGACCATGATGTTATTTTTTAAATTCTTCACATGCTATT